CAGATGTCTTGAATACGACGCTGCCACTGCGCAGAGTGCAGTCTGTCCGACTGCAAGTAATCGAACTCGATGTGGCCAGAGCTTTTCGAGGTCTCCTGGGGGAAATGGCGGCATTGGCCCAGAGAGTCGCAGACTCCGTGGACGTGCGCCCAGTGCCGCACCATCATCTCCACCAATGCTGGGTCCTTTGCAAGGGGGGTGGTTGCTCTGGCTCCTCCCCTGTTTTTCCCACTTTGGACGCTTGGTCAGTCCCCCGATGTTGTTCCTCAGGACATCATACGGGGCTTGCACCAATGGAGTGGCCAACTCCAATGACTTTGTGCCAGCCACATGCGACAGCTTCAGGAGATTCGCCAGCATCTCGCTCGCGATGAGGACCGACTTCAGCGGCAGTCGTTCAATGCTTTCCAGTGCCCTGTGTGATGGGCGCTGTGTTGCCACAGCGGCTTGGTTCACTCTGTCCAGGAAGTCTGCAAGCGGAGACCTGCAAAGGTCATAGAGGTCGCGATGACTCAGCATCGTGTTGACCTTCACCCACTTGTGCCCGGAATTCTGGTCGAGCGGCTTTGTTGAGACCCCATCCACATTGGCCATCCCGTGTGGCAGGAGCTCGGGTTTGCCAATGCGTTGAGGGCCATGGACCTCTAGTGTATCGTGGCAGAAAGACGGCAAGACGAAGCCGAAATTGATGTGGTTTACGTTTCTCCGCTTGCCTTCCTGCAGGGGCATTGCTTGAACAGTGTTTGCAATAGTTAGAACAAACGTACAGGGACATGCAGCTTTTCACACGCCCCAACCCCATGCACTTTCCCAAACCTGTCCTGAAATTTCTGGTTTATCAGCGTCGTGTCTTTTGCCAGCGTGAAAAAGTGGCCCGCGACGCTGGAGTCCAGCTGCAACCCAGCCTCTTCTACCAGTTCCCTTAAGGCGGCATTCTTGGCCGCATCTTCCTGCCAGTTTCCACCATGCCTGTAGACAAGATCTGCTGGAACTATGCTTCCAGCAGGTGTAGCAAGAAACCCGCTGCACCTTCGGTGCGCCAAGACATGCCAGTCGAAATTGACATTCATGAACAAGTATAGCGCCACACTGCCATACTCGTCGGAATGTCGCGGCATGTCCTGCTGTGTTGCCAAAGCAGTCTTCAATCTGCCTTGCCCTTGCTTGAAGCCAAGGCTGGCGCGCAAGCAGTGTGAGATGCAGTTGTGTTTCATGATCACTGAACGGCAACAACATTTGAGAGCTGTTTTTTTCCACTAGCAGCCTGAGTAAGTAAGTTTGAACAACCAAGGCAAGGAGCTCCAACAAATAGATCATTCGACAGCAACTGTTCAACTGCGGGTGCAGAGCTGGTTCTAGATGCAGTTTTGTCAACAATGTGGTGCGCATGGAGTTGCGGAAGCTTTATGTTGAAGAGGCGAAGGGCAATTCCTGCTGTCGCCAACGACAACACAACCGAAAAAACAAAGTCGTGCAGTGTTACCAGATGCCTGCATACCCTACTCGAAGAGCTGCACAGCCAACCCAGGGCGGGCCCTTGCTCATGGATTGACAAAGCATTGCGCTGCGTTTTTTTTCTGGCTGCAAAATGTGCGAAGAGACTGTTGCGGCAGCAATTCAAGTGAAACACTGGCAAGACTGCGTGGCCGCAGTTTGCGTCTAGCGATGCTCGAAGACTGTCTCCTTGTGCTTGATTGTCTCCTTGGACTCATTCTTCTGATTCAGCAGCTTAATAATCATCATCTCTATCTTGTTGACACGGCCTTGCACCCCTGTCAGCTCGTCCAAGATATCCTTAAGCACTTCCTCGGGCGGGAGCGGCGGCGGACTCAGCCACGGCGGCGGCGGGGAGGTGCTGGTCCACGCCGAGGATGCCTGCGATGATGGCGGCAAGCGATCATACACGGCGCCCACCCAGTTAGTACACATCGGCGGTTCGCAATTTTCGGACCGAACTTTGAAGGCCTCATCCCTGGTGTAGCGCCAGCTGTGCTGCAGGCCAGCCTCAGCCTTTCCCTCCAGCAGGCACACGCAGCAAATCACCTCAAAGTTCCAACCGCAAACCATCACACCGCTGTCTTTGAAGGCCTTCTTCTTGAACAACGGGGTCTTGCATTTCCATCCGCAGACATCGCACACGGCCTGCCAGTCAGAATTCCACGGCATTGTCTGACTGACAGCTGCGTTTCCGCAGATGTTCCACAGATGTTCCTTAACAGCTGCGGCGGGCAATTCAACCATCACGACATGAACACAGCATCCCTGACACATGTTTCAAACTGTTCACAGGCGCGCCCGAGCAAACACAGGCACGAATCGAAGACTGCAGCTCTACCACCATTAGCCTTGCGTAAGAGGGTCTTTTTCTTGTTCCGACCTTGCGCCCGAAACGTGTAAAGTCAAGACTAAGCTACTGTTGGAATTTGCAGAGGTGTTGGCCATTAACAAGAACCAACTGCGGGCACACAGTTGGTTTTCGCGGCAGCAGCGCTGCGTGGAAACGAGTTGAAGCCGAACCGAAGCTGAGCCAGTTGAACCGAATGGGCGGGCGGCGGGCGAAAACTCACTGAGCCGCACGCAACGCTGGCAGCAAAACAGACACGCTTTTCCTTGTGCTTTGTAAAACTCAGGAGTTGCCAAACTTCTCAGGCAAAGCAAAAACCTAAGCTGAGCCGGGCTCTCAGGGGAAAGGCTGTGTTTCCGCAGCCTTTTCTAGATGCAAGTTCAGTCAGAGTTCAAGGGTAAACAAGCTCACGCAAAGTCAAACAAGCATCGTCCAACAGCATCCCCAATGGTGTAAGAGGTCCGTCAATGTCGGCCAGTTCGTTCAAGAAGTGCAGAACCTGGGTCGACTCTTCCACAAAGGCCCGCTCTTCAGCGTGACGCGTGGAAGTTGCGTTGGTCCTGGAGAGCCTGGAGAGCACAAATCCTGCACAAGAGGCTCCCTGGCCATATCATCAGAAGGCAATGGCGAAATCAGCGCGCGCTCCATACCAGCAAGAACGACTGCGAAAGGAAACATCGCGGCTCTTCGCCCAGTTCTTTCCATGATCAACCGCAGGACCCGGCTGCATTTCCTGACAATAATCTCGTCGTCAATCTTCATTTCAATGACATGCAGCGCCACGCAATGCGCGAGCTCGTCAGCGTCACCCCCGTAAATGTCCATGGCAGCACGTGCGCCAAGTTTCACTACCAGCTGACATAGCAAAAACAACTCTCTGAGCCACCGGATTGTCCAAACATCAAGGCCCCCCTCCCTCCCCAAGATTTTCGGCAAAAAAACACTTCCGAAAAACAGATTGTTTTGACAAAGAACGCGCACGCGAAAAAACAAGGTTTTCGGTCCAAAAAAAAGCACACAAAAAAAGGCATAAAAAGCGTGTCCTTAATGACCGGCCAGCCGATTGACACAAGGTGCATGCGTACCTGTTCTTGGCTTGCTTGCCCGTGGCTCTGCAGTATCATCGAAGCCCGACAAGGCCGGGAGCACCACGCCACACTCCACGTGGACCCAGTTGCGTTCGTTGGGCTTGTTCAGTAGTTGGGGGCCTGCGCCCGCGCACCACCTGGAAAGCCACCGCTTGCGCTTCCCGCAGAAAAAGCCCTTGAGTTCCAGCGGCAGGGCTTCAGTGGGCAAGGTAACCGTATGATCATACTCCGCACGTTTGCGCAGCCCGACCGCCGCATCCGGGAGATCCTCCAGCCAGCTGGGGTTGTGCACGAAGATCGTGCAGTGGACCTCAAAGGCCATGTGCCGCGCAATGTTAGCATAATCCTCGGATCCCGTAGGGGCGCGGTAGCCCCTCGCCTCCACCCACGCCTTGGCCTTGAGGCGGAGCTCGGTGAAGTTACGCATATATAAGAATACTGAAGTTAAAATTACCAGTGCTAAGTTTGGTGTTGGCAGTTTTTGGCTTCGAGAAGCTGCAGAGACACTGGGAGAGCAAGCAAACTAGTTCATACTAATTGCTCATGGAAGCTCCGTAAAAACATTCTCTCTTTGCGCAAGCCTGCGTATGGCCAGGCGTGTGGCAAGGCTAAAACTTTGGAGTTGCCAGCGTGGAAGCTGTCAGACCCTGTCAAACCCCTTCCTTTCCACCTCACCAAAATTTGACCCCGACTCAACTGTCTAAAAACCGATCCAACGTCAACGCCCTAAAGCCCGATACCGGCAAACATTCTAGAAACATTTCCCTACAAAATGCCCCTAGAAAGCAGTGAATCCCTCTCTAGAAATTTGCCAAAACCCCCTAGAACCGGTCAAATTCCTTCCACAAACCGGTCAAAAACCAGTGACATCCACACATCAAATTCCGCAAGTGCTCAGCCCAAGCCCTCAAGGCCCACACCGCCCTTCTGTAACTCGCAGCTCTCCTTGAAGCCATGCGCAAACGTGGAAACGCACGAACATGCACCCACCCATCACGGATGTCGGTGACTCACTCAAACAAACACCACACCCAAAGGCAAACCAAGCACAGCAACTCAAAGCCATCCAAAATCATACTGGCTAAGGCGGGCAAGGCGAAGCATTTACAATGTCAAGCCAAGCCTCAATGGTCTTTGGCACATTTGATGGGGGCCGTCTCTTCTCGGCCGATTGGCTGAAGAACGCAGAGATCAAGGTTCTGATGCAAGGCCAAGACTCCAGGAATGCTTCATCTACTACCGAAGAAACCGGTTCCGTTCAACGGACGGTGGAAGGCACTCAGTGAAGCGGATGAGCTTGCTGGAGAGTACCACTGAGCCTCATGCATCTTGCAAATCTTCCCGCAAGGCTTCCTAGTTCTGGCTGTAGCTGATTGAAGGAAGGTGCGGACCACAGAGCTCTCGTGATTCGCCCTGTCCGGACAAGGTGCAACCACTCACCCAGGCGCACTCTGCGCTTAAAAATGATTGTATTGGATACATTGGTTTAACACATTCTGGCACCCTTTTGCAAGTTTCTGTTTGCTCTGAATAGCATTCCGAAAAAATTCCTTCCCAGCCCCCAGCGCCTTGTACTGCGAAGGGAACTTGGTCCTCTGGCTGTGAGCAATCTACCCGCTTAAGTAGTTCAAGGGCGGTCAGTGTCATGAATTCATCGGCTAGCATAATGTGCGCTTTCACTCTGCGGAAGACTTCAAGTACATTCATTGCCAGTTCCCGAGTCCCACTAACCTCACATGTCAAGACAACCCGCATCTGTGTCCATGTCAACCTGAGGCAACTCATGCCAAATCAAAAGACTGGTTCGGGCTTCAAAATTCAAGCTGGTGCAGGCTCCTGATCATCAGCTCAAGCACCTCGCTCTTTATCGGGGCTTGCCCATGCAGGCCGCAAGCCACCAATCTGTTCGGATCCTGGCAAAAGCAACCGTCAGCATCGCAGCTCAGGCGCTTTAGAATTGACAAACTGCTCTGACAAATGCGGCCAGTGGAGTCATCCCTCCAGCAGCCATTCAACGCAAGTTGGCTGCCAACTTCTTACCCAATGTCTCAAAACTGGAGTCTAGCCTCTAGCGAGACAACACGGCTTCCTCAACGCAATCTGAATACAAGTAGACTCCATACCTAGCGATTCCAATATGTTGCACTGACGGAGTGCTGCAACTAGCCACGAAGCCCTCTGGCATGAGATAAATGAATATTGAACCGCCTATACAAGCAAGCAAACTGTGGGTTTGGCCGCAGGAGCGGCAAACACACAATTGCGCAAGCAACCACGCAACCACACAACCGCACAGCAACACAAACAAACAACCAAACAAAACAAACAAACAAAACAGGCAGCCGCCAGCCTTCTTGAAGCCGCCGCGTGGGACGCAGTGCGCGCTCACCTGTATTTTGCATGAGGATTCCTGAACATAGGCCGTCCCCTATTGCGCGGTGTTGATGGAAATCTCAAAGGACAGCATTGCAAAAGGAGCTCCCTAATGTCAGCAGACGATTAGTAAACCCCCCCCCCGATTAAAGGTTTCCCCTTTTCCCCACCAGGTTCCAACCAACACTAAAGTAAAGGGCCAACAAGATTTCCCAAAAAACCCTACCCAATAATTTTTGAGCCCTCCCCAAAACCCCCCCTGATTAAAGGTATCCCTCTGCAGCCCCCAAGCCAACAAAACCTGCCGGCAAGGTGCTTTCCTTCTTGCTTAGTATTTGCTGAGTCTGTGCTTAAACCCACCAATACTAAGTCACTATTGAACCCCTCAAGTGTTCCCAAAAAATGTGCTTCCCCCGAAATGCATTTTTCCTTGTTAAAATTTGTTTAAAATGACAAGGTTTTCAAGCTCACAAAGGGGACCCCCCTTGGAGGCCAGTCCCCCCTCATTAACAGAAAACCCCCCGCGATTAATCAGGGGTCTTTTGGGCTCAAAACCCACAAAATATGCTGTTGCCTTTTAAAGTCCTACTGCCCCGAAGGGACCAGAAGTAAGAGGACGAGGACCGCAGGGGCTCCAGACTAATCAGGGGGCTCCTCCCACAAATCTCCTTTTTTGGGACTTGTCCAAACCTTGTCAACCTTGAAGGGGGGGGGGGGGAGGGGGGTTTACTAATCAGTTGGCACCATTAACCTTGGGAAACACAGCTTTGCTTGGCTCCCTGGTCTGCACCAGCTGGGTACAGGGTATGTCAAACGAGAAGCTCATCTTTCGATGTCTCTTACACCCGTCTGGCCGCCCGGCTCAAACTGAATTGCTGCTTCGATTCATCGCCCAACCTTCCGTGAACCGCCTGCTGAGCCTCTGGCGATAGTGCCGCTGGAGAGGCAGCAAGGACTAACGGCCAACTCGCCACTGACTGGACAGGAGAACTCCTGCAGATTGTTCCGTGCAAGGGCGAAAATTAGAAACAAATTAGTTTACTTTTTAGAGACCCCCGCTTTAGCTGCCGAAACCCATGCGGCCCCCCCACAGCATCAGTCCTCAAGGAAGCCCTCATCGCCTTCCTAACACATCTGGGATTGGTGCAACACGCTCAACCGGCATAACACGAGTGGTAAACAAACTCCTGAGGGAAGACTGGCTCTCCGCGTTCATTCCCAAGCGACCCTCCAGATTATATTCAGCGTCCTCCAGCTTAGCGACCCGCGCGCCTATCATCAACCATGTCGTAGCAATGTGCACAAGCTCATTTCGATCGGCTTTGGAAGAGCTGCAAGTCTGTGATTGCGCTAGATGGGTGGGGGGCCCCGGTTAGCCTGTTGTCCTTTCAGGTCGTCCTGTGCCCGAAAATTAATTAGCCTTGATGAGTTGCCAGTTTCAAAACTGAGTCGCCGCAAAATCGATGTTGAGCTCTTCTATAACAATGTTGCGAAAGGTCCCTCTTCGGCCTGCCTCATCCGGCGCCTCCGACACGACGGGAGCCTGACCAACTGATAGAAGGTAGGTGGTGGACACAGCCCCTGCAGCCCCTAAATTCATGCCAAGCTAAGTACTAACATGCGCACCAGCAACCGCACCATGCGCATTTGAATGCCACCTGCGTGTCGCTGGCATGACTCGTGGACCCCTGTGACTGCCACGCTCAACCCTGAACCAGCCAGTTTGCAAATGCATTCCAACATCCGAACTCCTCACCTAAATGCTACCTTGCGGCTGTCAAAAGTCTGAAAGGCCACAGTCTGCTACGTGTAACCGGAACTCAAAACAAAACACAAAAGCACAGAGCCCCTGTTGGTGTGCTTTTGTGTAACAGGGGTTTGGTTTTATCTTCAGCATTTCAAGCTGGCCTGTCAACAGGTTAAACCCAACCCCATCCCCGGCGTTCCATGGAAATCGTGAAGGGGCCTAAGCGGCAGCAGGTCCTCCGAGCCCCACCTCCTTCTCCTCATTATGACCAGCATCGTCATCATCATACCTTGCATCATCATCACCATGGTCGTTATCATGATCATAAGCGTGATATGGTCAAGATCATCAACATCAGCATCATCAGCCGCATCATGTTCATCATGTCATCGCCATCAACAGCATCAACATCATCACCATGATCATAATCATGAGTTTAAGAATGACCATAATCATGATCGTAGTCGTGAGCAGAATCACGATCATAACCATGAACATAACCATGATCATAAGCATGATCATGGTCATGGACATCAGCATCATTTTCAACCGCATCACACTCATCATCATAGTGACCATTGTCATGATTGTAATCAGGATCATGGTCATGATCATCAGCACCAGCATCATCATCAACCGCGTCACGTTCATGATGTCATCACCATCAGCAGCATCAGCATCGTCATCATCATGATCATGACCATGATTTTAAGCCTGATCATAATCATGGTGAGCAAAATCAGGGTCATAAGCATGAGCATAACCACGGTCATAAGCGTGGCCATGCTCATTGCCATCAGCATCACCATCAACCGCACCCGGCTCATCATCATCATGACCGTTGTCATGAGTGTAATCATTATCATGGTCCCAATTCTCAGCATCGTCAACTGCATGATGTTCATCAAGTCATCATCATCAGCAGCACAAGCATCATCATCACCACCATTCACACTACCATCATAGTCATGACCAGGGTCTTGATCATAGCTTTCAGCATCATCACCAACCCCATCGTATTCACCATGTCATTTTCATCAGCAGCATCATTATCATGATCATTACCATGCTCGTGATCATGCTCATGATCATCAGCGTCATCATCAACCACCTCATGTTTATCATGTCATCATCTTCAAGAGTTAGCATCGGCATCATCACGATGCTGATCAGTCTCATGATCAGTACCATGGTCATGGCCATCCAGCAGAATCCTCATCACCATCAGCCCCGCCATGTTCAACATGTCATTGTCATCATCAGAAGCAGCCAGCATCATCATCAGCAGCACCAGCATCATCATCATACTAACTAGGATGCACCTGATGATCAGCATGTTCTTCGCGCTCATCACGAAAAGAATGGTCATGAGCATCACCATCAGCATCATCGGCACAATCATCGGCGGAATTTGCGTCATGACCGCCATCACAGTCATCATGACCATCATGTTGATCATGTGTGTCACACGAACCATGGCCATCAGCATCAAAAGCGTCAATAGCGTCAGTATGAAAACAGCAGTGGCTGAGCTCGAAGACAGCGTAGCGGGAAGTGCCGCGCAAGCGGCTGGAACCTTTCCTTTCACAACAATGGCGCGGCTGAAAGCTCACGGGCCCTAGGTTCTTTGTGCCACGTGGTAATGTTTGGCCGGCGACCTGGGCTCGACCTGCTACGCGCCCGCCTGATGGAGATGCTGCTGAGCCTTGTCATTGGCATTTTCATGGCGCTGCTGCGGGCCTGCGTTCAGCCAACCTGAAGCAGGTAACGACCAAACAAATGGACCAACCCCGACCGAGTTGCAGGCGCTGCGAAATGATCTTGCAGAAGTCGAAAGTCGCTTTTTGCGGTGCGAGCAACGGTCGGGTCTGGTTGTCTTGAGACAATATAGCTTTCAGCATCACTTGTGCCCGCAGTGCGAGCACCCGCGCGCATCATCACAGGTTCGATAGCTAGAACGCTGCGAGGCGTGTCCAGTGTGAACTACACGCTTGCGTTCGTTTGCCTTTCGCTCCTCTGCCGCCTTCTTCTTGCTTGCGGTGAGCTCCTCGTCAGCCACAAGAGACACCTTGTGAGTTCTGAGCCGGTCCGCCACCAACTGACTGCGGGCTTGGACAGCCCGTCCGCACACTGATACTCCAAGCTCCCCGCCTGAGCTTGGGCCCGTGACGTCAACCATCGTGCGCTTGTCGCCCTGTAGCTGGGGAGACTCCGCCATGATGAAATCGTACAGTGCCTTTGCACACCGCAACTGCAGACTTCAGCTTTAGGGCTCCTGAGGTGGAAGTCCTTCGTTAGACAAAACGTCGCAGCGAACTGCGCTAGGGTCAGCTTGATGCGCCGACCTGCCCTCTAGGAACGCCCTTGCGGGTCAGCATCACAACGTGTCCACCTTGGGAATGCTAGTCTTGCCTCACCGCTCATGCAGCATCCGGCATGCTACCAACACCAGCTCGTGTAGGCCGCCCCACTCTCGCAGAGCTTTGGCGTCTGACTTGCAAGGATGGACAGGGACGCGGCAAGATGCGGCGACGCCTGAGTGGAAGGCCACTGCAAACATCCGAAGACCTCTGAGCCAACGTGTCTTGCCTCAGCCTCATCCGGCTCATGACCCGCGACGGATCTTGGCCATCTACTCCTTCTGTTGAAGTTGCCATCCTTGATCATGATGAAATAGTTCGCACCCGCAGCACTTGAGGTTCCCGTCCGTGAGAAAGTCGCACTGACATTGACTCGACCACTGACAGTTGAGCCTGGAAAGGACGAGGCGAGGCACGGGCATCAGCGGCAAAGCCAAAACTTCGAAGGCATCGAGGCACAGCGGCGCACGCAAGCTAAGGGACGAATTGACCAAGCAGTGGTTGACAGCTTGCAAGCTCAGCATGTAGGCGCTGCAACTTCAGGCGCTCGCCCTTTTTTCCAACCTTTGTTTCGAGATACTCCGTCTCCGCCTCCAAGTAGATCGTCGACACGCAAACCGACCTTGGAGATCAGGGTGTTTGCCTGGTTGACTGGGTGTGGTTCATATCCAATCTGTCGAAGCTTGCGCCTGGCCACGTCGAACCACTGCCTTACACGAGCGGACCACCGCCCTTTCCCAATCAACTTTTTCGTTGGCACCCTGCAGTTTTGCTCTCGTGGCATGCCGCCTGGCTGCTCATGCCATCCATCTTGCGATGCAGCCGTCATGCTCAAGCCTTCGCGCTGTCCTGCTCATAGCGCAGCTTCAGCACGCGCTCTTTGCTGCCGCCAAGACCAGACCACCATGCTTTCTGCCCCTTCTTGGCCAATAAGTTCTTGGCTGCTGCCGTCTTCGCAGGCTGCTTGCCTTTGGCTTTCTTCAAAGGCAGCTTCTTCATAGCCTGCTTGCTTGCTGGCTTCTTTTCCAGCTTCGGCGTGCCATGTGAGCAGCAGGCCGCTTCATGGGTGTCGAAGGGCTTGCCTGCGCCCGCTTTTCTGATCGAGGCTTCTCCGCAGAGACGCCTGCAGCGACATAGGCTGTGAGCCAAGCCTCTCAGTCTGCCCGCTCGGCTTTTCCGCCCTCCTTTTTGGAGAAGCCGCGTTGGCCTTCTCTGATCTCACTGCCTCGCTGGCACTCTCCCCGGCAGGTCCAGCCTTGCCACTTGCCACAGCACTCTGATGTGGGATTGAGCTGTTGGGCCGTAATGACCTCCGACCACATGAAGTACGTTCAAATCTGTCTCCAGGAATGGTAGGAGCGGTTGAGGATCTCCTTGAAGAAACGCGCTGGCTACATCTAGACAGCAGCGCTTGTCGTCCAACACGCGTCAACGTGCTGCTAGTGTCGCGCTTGCCCTGCAGTGGATCAGGATCAGCGAGCCCCTGAAGTACAAGTCTCGCCTTTGCCATCAAGCACAAACCTAGCCTTGTCCACGGACCCGCGGTTTATCTCAACTTCCCAGACCTGGCTCTGACATTGCAAGTCCCGGCCTGCCTTTATGACATGCTCGTTGGCTCCCTTCTTTTCAGGGGTCTTGACCAGAATTCTTTGGATGGCCAAGATTGCGACGCAGCCAAGGGCTGCTTCAGATCCATGGGCTTTCGCTAATCCTGCGGACGCTGGAGTGCTCTGAGGGCTCGACCGGGTAGGCCTGATCAGCGACGTCCTCGTTGCCGACAATCGCTGACTGGTGAAGGTAGTTCTCAGCTCGCCATATCCGGCCCTGCTAGCCGTTGATGTTCGTGAGCGAGGCTAGAGATCTTGTCGCGGCTCGCGCCCTGGGATGTGGAAGAGCATCACACCTCGCTTCCCGCGGCGAACGAGCTGCCAGTCTCCATCACCTATCCGATCTTCATCTGCCATCGGCCAAAATTCACCGGCCGCGCCCAGGACCTCCGAAATGGGACGGCCCAGCAGCATCGGCGTGCCACCGCGCACCACGTCCTCCATCCACCACCGAAACTGGAAGCTGAATCAACCATCGGCCCACCCCGCTGTTGTCGCCAACGAAGACGAACTGCTTGTTGCAGCCCTTGAAGGAGATCTTTGCCATGTCAGAGCCGATGGAATGAAGCCACCGAAGGAATCTGAGAATGTGCACGGAACTGGCCAGGAACTGGCCAGGAAGGCGGAAGCTCCTCCGTCCTGGACACAGGCACCAGGATCTCTTGAAATCCACTCATCACCATTGTGAAGAGCCACGCCGACGAACTTGCCGGCTAGCTTGCGGGAAGACAAGACAAGGCGCGCTTGGCCGTGGAATTTCCAGGCCTTCCTTTCCGGTCCTTGCCCTTGCCGCGGCCGCAGGAGTCAGAGGAACTCTGCACTGCATGCCGCCAAAACCCTCTGTTGGCCCTCAGCTGGTTGACCCGTTGCGTCCGTGTAGGCCGCGTAGACCTCGTCAAACTTGTCCGCGATGAAGAGGGTTTCTCCCCTTTGCTCGGCGTTGTAGTAGTCCGCTGTGTCGTGCTCATAGTCCATCCGTTC